AGGACTACCTATGGGGGGTACGACCCCGGATACCCACGGCAGACCACATGGGCTATGCACCTAGGGGCGGCCTAGCCCAGAAGACGAAGCCTTGCGGAGCACGGCGCTGCTCGACGCGTCCCGCAAGACATCGGGAAGATATCCTGAAGATACTACGAGATCTGTTAGGATACATATGATCCCATAATTCCTGTAATATGTTATTACTTTTCGGTTATCTCCTAGATCTAACCGACTTGTAACCCTACCCCCGGACTATATAAGGCGGGCAGAGACCCCCTCCAAACACACGCAATATCATACGATAGCCAATACAATCCAACAGACCACAAGAGTAGGGTATTATGTCACGACGACGACCCGAACCTGTCTAACTCTTGTGTCTCTGTTCCCTTCTTGTTCTCGATTACACGCATCTCTGCCGATCAATCTACCTTCGTGGGATACCCCTCGGAGGACTGCCGACGATATTCTATCAACAGTGCCTGTGAGCGAGATTGAGAGGAGAGGAAGTTGGTCCGTGCCGCTACACCTAGCCCTCGCGCACACATCCACCAGTGAAATTAAAGTGGACTAGGGCCACACCAGTGCGCTGCCGCTAGGAAGGGGACAGCCCATGCGTCGTAGCCAAGAGGGGCGTACCCAAGCACTGCATGACGTGTCATGCCGCTTGCTAGATGTGTTGTGCCTCCTGCTCGATTTGCCTATGGGAGATGGGCGGTAGAAGGGGAGCAGCTGTGGGAAGAGAACTGAACAAAGCAGACGGATGGGGAAGGGGATGGGAGAAATGTGAGGCGGCCCATGGCTACGTGTGGTGGGGGGGAGAGAAATGTGATCTCAGTTAGGGTTTCCTCTATTATATACTATGAATCCAAGAATGGTAGTGGGCCAAGACGTGGTGGCGGCTGGGCCTCAGGTAACAAAGGTGGGCCACTTAAGGCTTAAGAGACCAAAGGCGCTATTGACGTCAAGGCTGGCATAGAGACTAGCACAGCTTTCGCCAGCGTAGACCAACCCACCACAGCAAAACCTTGGCGAAGCATGTCTCATACCACGTCGTTACCAAACACCAGGGACCTAACACCAAAAGCTCGAAGATGATGAAGGGTGTCCCATACCACATCGGCGCCGAACAATGAGGCCTTAAGCTCCTGTTGCTAGCCATGTCGTGCTCAGCCGAGATCATCGAATTACTCCTATGACAACTAATAAGGACAATCGGGGACAGACCCTGCTAGGAACAAGCACGCGGGGAAGGTATCGGTAACCACCCATGCAGGCAAGGTCAATTGCGCTGCCGTGACTGATGCACTCCATGGACGTGGAGGGAAGCACCGCCACCAAGCCGACCATCGAGAATTGTACCGTTCACCATCGGATCTAGACGAATCCCACCATAGTATGTGAGGCGCCCATGCGAATTCGGCTGGATACCATGCCGATTAGTCATTGCCAGAACAAGAAGAGAGGGAAGAGATGAGTAGGAAAAAATGCTAGGATGAGAGAGGAGGTTCGCCCAGTTGCCACCGCCCGTGCAGTCGGCTAGGCTTCCCGGCGACCTACTTAAGCGGTGGCAAGACATAGGAGGACGTTGCACGGGATTAGGTGACAAGGCGGCATTGGCCAGCTAGCTAGTGAAACCAAAGATTGCGCCCCTCCAATAATAAATACTTTCTCCGTTCTAAATTACAAGATGTTTTACCTTTTCTAGATACATTGCTTTTGCTATGTATCTAGACATAGTGTATATCTAAGTGCTTGGCAAAAGCTACGTATATTGAAAAGTCAAAACGTCCTATAATTTGAAACTGACGGAGTATTACTTATTTTGACCTAGTCAAACATTTGGAACTTAGACGCTTATTAGTAATTTAAAAAACATTTTGTTTGAGACAAAAAAATTATATGGGTAGATTTGTATTGAAAAGTACTTTTATCTCACAGTAGTACTTACCTAACGTTACAGCTATTTTATGATAAGAAAAATTGTGGTCATAATTAAAATTCGGAGACCACATAACGTCACTTCTAGATCAGGCATATGTTTTTCGTGTTTTATTAAAAAGGACAGGATAATCTCTTCATTTACTTCACTTGGCTGAAACTGGCTCAAAAAACAAGCCAAAGCTGAAATATTGTGAGAGAAAAACACTGTACTGACTGAAAAAAAAAAACCGAATAAGCCAGCTTTTAAGGTAAGCCTAACGGGGCCTATGCTCGAACAGTATATGTTTATCACGAAGATCGAACAGATCACAACAGTACTGAGCAACTAACCCCACTTTTTACATGCATGTCCTTTATAGTTAATATTTATTTATAATATATGTGAAGCATATGGTTTTGAGTCACTGGGACCAGACTAGCTAGCACGTAATAGCTACTACGTATATGTCAACTTTAGCTGTTACTGTAAGCGTAGTAATCGATTCTTTGCTTTGTTCTAGTAATCTAGATAGGCATATAGGTATCTTTATTTTTTCCCTTTTTTTCTTTCTCTTTTTACCCTTTCCCTTTAACTGCTTTATTTTTGTCGATCGGTTGCATATAATAAGGCTGTGCAGCGCGTGACATGTTCCTTGCCTGCCTAGCTAGCCTCTTTGTCACATTGAGAAGATTAATCCGTTCACCACCAGATCTACACGAATCCCACCATAGTATGTGAGACGCCGATGCGAATTGGGCTGATACCATACCGATTAGTCGTTGCCAGAACAAGAGGAGAGGAAAGAGATGAGTAGGAAAAAGAATACTAGGATAAGGAAGGAGGCTCACCCAGCCGCCACTGCCCTTGGAGTTGACTGGGCTTCCCATTGACCTACTTAAGCGGCGGCAAGGCGTAGGCGGGCGTTGCATAGGATTAGGTGACGCGGCGGCGTTGGGCAGCTAGCTAGTGAAACCAAAGATTGCACACCTCTAATAACAAATAGTACTTATTTCGATCTACTGGTTAAACATATGGAACTTCGACACTTAATAATTTTAAAAACATTTTGTTCGAGACATAAAAATTATAGGGGTAGATTTATATTGAAAAGAACTTTTGTCTCACGGTAGTACTTATCTAACATTACAGCTATTTTCTAAGAAAAATTGTCGTCATAATTAAAATTCGGAGACCACATAATGTCACTTCTAGATCATGCATATGCTTTTCGTGTTTTTAAAGGACAGGATAATCTTTTCATTTACTTCACCATTCTTGAACCGTATATGTTTATCACGTAACAGATCAGAACTAAGCTTAATCGATTCTTTGCTTTGTTCTAGTAATCTAGCCATCTAGGTATCTTTATTTTTTCCCTTTTTTTCCTTTTCTTTTACCCCTTCCCTTTCACTGCTTTACTTGTCGATCGGTTTCATATAATAAGGCTGTGCTGCGAGCCTGCGAGTGACATGTTCCTTGCCTGCCTAGCATCTTTCTCATATTGAGAAGATTAATCCGTTGTAACACCCTGTGGCCTCCTCACTTGTTTTGAGAAAAAAATAATAATTTGAGTGCGTAAAAGTGGCTGCTGGATCATCTATTGGCGTCCATGCTATAGCGGCCATATTCAATTCAACAGCCAGGTATTATTGGTATCCTTGTTTCTTCATGGCTAGTGTGAATATGTAATAAATAACGCGTGTTAGAAAAATAAAGAGGAGATTGATGGCCAAATGCCACCCATCGCTGTATTGACCAGTGTATAGGAGAGAGTTTCGCTGCGGACGTGCCACCTAAAATCCCAAATCAAAAAGGTGAATGATACCTGGAGTAACACACAGTTCTTAACATAGTCATCCATATATATGATGTGAGATTTCGGAGTTTTAACTGTATAAATGATGATGTGACGTAACAATTAAGAGGAAAGAGGAGATGAGTTTTTTCATTCTCACGAAACCCGGCTGGCATTGTTTTTCCAACGAAACCCGGCGGCTTGCATTCTCGCTGTGCACCGCGCATCCCATATTTACCATACGCTATATGTATTTTATTTTGCATATGTGACTCTATTATATATTTTCTTATATCATATGAATATTGAAGTAAATTAAACTTTTCACATTGTTATGCTAATACTTAAATTATATTTATATGTAGTACGCAAGTGACTATATTGTTTATATGGCACATTTGATATCACAATACCATTCAAGAATTAAATGCTACAGCGTATAGATAGCATATGAAACAGTGAATGAAACTTTGGATTGAGAGATGTTGTTCCATGTCCTTGTTTTAAGACTGCCACATCTTAGAAACGGATAGATGAAATCTTCGATTAAGACTGGCCTTACCCTTTGATCAAATGCATTACTATTATCTTTCATGCGTTTAATGTGCCAATGGCATTGCCTCCATAGAAATGAACAAAAGAATGGTATAAAACTATACTTTTGCCAAAATCATTGCAACGTTTGAATACTACTACTTGATGCTAGTATACTCTCCTATTCCAAAATAAATCAACTTCTAAAAATTGTCCTAAGTCAAACTATTTTATATTTAACCAAATTTATAAAAAAGACCATCAATGCTTATGACATCAAATTAGCATCACCAGATATGCCATTAAATATATTTTTATAATCTACTTATTTGGTATCATAAGCTTTGTTATTCTTCACTATAAAGTTGGTCAAATTGACTTCAGTTGATTTATGACTTGATTAATTTTGGGATGAAGGGGGTATCTTTTTAAAATCGATGGAGGTAGTATTTTATTATACTGCTCAGTTACAAACTTATATTCCCTCCGCTCCAAACTGTAAGGCGTTTTGGTTTTCTAAATACTTTTACTATATATCTAGACATAGTGTATATCTAAGTGTATAATAAAAACTATGTATCTAGAAAAGACAAAATGATCGACTTATAATTTGGAATTGGGGGTATAATATAAAGAGTCTAACTGCAGATACTAGTAAATAATAGCCAATACTATTGATTATGTCGTCGTGAAATAGTAATAAACAGATAAATGAGAAGTTCTCGGTAATCTTGTGTAGAAGGGATGGCAACTATGGACCGACGTCTACTGAAAGCAGCCACATCCGGCGACGCTGCATCACTGAAACAACTGGCATCTCATGACCCGGGCGTGCTGCTTGGGACAACTCCACCGGGCAACACCTGCCTCCACATCTCGTCCATCCAGGGCCACGAGGAACTCTGCGAGAGCATCCTGGCGCTGGACCAATCCCCGGCGCTCCTCTCCGCCGTCAACAAGGACGGCGAGACACCGCTGCTGGCCGCCGTGGCAAGGGGCCGTGCGTCTCTTGCCTCTGCTCTGCTCATGCGCTGCCGTGAGCGGCAGCTGAGCGATGCGATCCTGAGGCAAGACAGGCACGGGTGCAACGCGCTGCACCACGCCGTCCGCAGGGGACACACGAAGCTGGCGCTCGAGCTGGTCGAAGTGGAGCCTGTCTTGTTGAGAGCCGTCAACGGGCGTAGCGAGTCACCTCTGTTCATCGCGGCGATGAGAAACTTCACGGAGGTGGCGGATAGACTGCTGGAGGTTCCTGATTCGGCTCACTCTGGAGCTTTCGGCTTCAATGTTCTCCATGCTGCTGTCAGAAGTGGAAATCTAGGTAACTGAATAGCACTAATAAGCATTGCATTGTGGTGAATCTTTTTACAAAATCTTGGCAGTGTTATGTACTACGTTCTTGCATCAATGCAATTATGCAATGTAGTAGAGTGCTTAACCTTTTTCTTTTTTGTCCCTTGATTTGCTTTATTTCAGCTATCGCTAAAAAGGTTATGGAGACACGTCCGTGGCTAGCCACAGAGGAGAACGAGAATAGGCACACTCCAGTGCACCTGGCTGCATATGACGGCGAGATTAACGCGCTAGCAGTATTGCTGGAGCATGATCCGTCTTTGGGGTACCTAACCTCCACAGACGGTGACACTCTTCTCTGTATCGCAGCATCTCAGGGCCATGTCGGTGTTGCTCGAGAGTTTCTTGAACACTGTCCAGATGCTCCCAACTGCGATGCAAGCGGCTCGACATGTCTTCACATTGCCGTGTTGTGTGGACATACAGAGTTTGTGAAATCTATCCTGGGGTTACAGCAGCTTGGCCCCCTGATTAACATGCTAAATGGAAGCGGAGAAACTGCTCTGCATCTCGCTGTCAGAAACTGCAAGCCGGACATGGTTGCTGCTTTACAGCTTCACCAGGACATAGACGTAACGGTGCTTAACAGCGCCGGTGACCCGGCAAGCCGGGTGTTGCCTGATGCCGCCAATCACACAAAGGCTTTAATCTCGGTACGTTTTTTTTTTCTCTCACCGTAAATATATATTTTAGTAGCAAATATGTCCTTGCATTTATAATGGGATGTACAATTGTATGGTGCTCATGCCAATAAGGCAATAATAAACAGCCTACTTCATGTCAAATAAAAAAATAAACAGCCTACTTTTGTCAGATTTAATTGGGCTTCGTCTAACCTTATTTTAATTAAATAAAAAAATCAAGGAAAAATATGATTTAATTAAGGTTGGCCTAACCTTATCTTGATCTGACATATTTACCTCCCCTAATATTAGAAATAACGATAAGTCCCCTAAGGGCTTGTTTGGCTATTCATATTTACCTCAATTCACATGTGTTGGAGTGGATTAGGATGGAAATTAGTTAATTCCCACCCCAATCCAATCTAATACATGTGGTTTGAGGTGAATACAAGTGTAGTCCAACAAGGCCTAATGGATATCTAAATTAAACAATTATTACATTAAGGAAAAAGATAAACTCAAAGTACCCACTATGTTGGTTTCTATTTCATGGGTTCTGACTATTCATGAGAAACAAACTAACTCGACCATTATTAAAAATAACAAAAAAAGCTCTGGATTTACTGATATTTGATATTATATAAAACAATAACCCAGAGTACCGTCTACATGTGCTTCTAGATTATAGTAGGTTCTGCAAATTTTCATATATGGAAACAAAATTTCATATCTTGGGCACTACAATGCAAGCTAGAGTGTGCCTATCTGTGCTACTGAAATTACTAAGAAAACAATCTATGATCTAGAATCCATGCCATCTTAATATTAGTAATTGGAGGCATCTAAGAGAGCCTCCATGTTAACGCTCACAAGATGCTAAGGAAAAACAACTAGGAATTCTCACAAAGATGAAAACCATCTCGCCTTTAATATAGTAGTCTCCAATCATCATCACCTATAACAGTTACTGGATCTATTCTATTTGTCTAAAATATTACCCATCTTTTGCTATTACAAAAAATACATAATCTAACATCCTGAATTTGAATCTAAATTACCCACCTATAGCATTATAATAGATAATGCAAAGTAAGTGCCTAAATTTCATTTTAAATTACACACATCTACCATTATGAAAGACAATATAAAATAACCCCTTTAATTTGTATCCAAATTATCCATCTCTACTGTTATAAAATTTTAAACTAAAATATCCCTCAAATTTTTGTCTAGATACTAATATATAACCTATTATGGAAAAAATTCAATAAACATAAAGTATGACATATATGGTTCTAAATTACACATTTCTTCTACTCTTAAATTAAAATTAAGCATAAATGCTATGTGCCAACATTTTTTAAGGGCTGCAATACAGGCCCAAATGACTGTTTATGACATTGCAGCAACCAAGAGTGTAGTTAGAACATAAAATCTAATACAAAAGGCAAATTCTAAATAAAAATGCAGCAAGCACTAGAGTTTTGGGTTAACATATGGATAAAAAATAATTGTAGACAACTAATAAGATCAAAAGTTAAAAGCTAAAGTATAGACTCATCATGTCATAGAAAATAATGCAACAAGAACTAATATAACTTAATGCATATGAAAACCCCATATAGGTGCAATTCAAAGTATGACAATATGTATCCTAATATTACTAACTTGAGGATCTAAACATAGCATCCATATTAATTCTTACAAGATGCATTAGCAAAAGAATAAATCCTACAAATTATCATAATAATAAAAAACATCTGGCAGTTAGTTCATCAACTCTAATCATCATAGAGAATAATAATTATAGGTTATATTCTATTTTCTAAAAATGAACCGCTTTTGGCATTTAAAAAAGGGAATAAATAACCCCCTAAATCTACATCTAAACTACTAACCTTTACCATCTTGAAAGATATTTTAATTAATATCTTCCCTAAATTTTCTGTTAGATTACCTGACTCTACCATTATGGAAGATAGCACAAAGTAACCCCTTTAATTGCATCTAAATTTGCCGTATTTGCCTCTATAAAATAGAAACTAAAACATCCCTCGAATCTAAATCTAAATTACCAGTATAAGCTATTATGAGAAAGAATTAAATAACCATAAACTATACTATAAATATGGTTCTAATTACTTGGGTTCTACTACTGTTAAATTCAATGTAGACATAGATGCCATGTGTCACCATTTATACCAAGTATACATGGATACATTAGTGATAAATATATATTTTTGTAGTTTATCGATCATGAAAATAAAATGTTCCCTTAACAAACCACATATAAATAATACCGATAATTCATTTTAAATTATATTGAAGCTCCATGGCACTTAATTTTATAAGTTGCTAGTTTTTAAAAGGACAAGTTACCTTATATAAGTTTATACTTTTCGACAAAATCCTTATGACATATTGTGCAGCTAGTTTCATTTGAAGCACTCTATTTTTTATAAAACAATACCTATATATTTTAAAATACTACACATATAATTTTATATCAACTCCCGCAACTTTTTAAAACACTTATATATTTTAAAAAATTGCTAGCATATACAGGAGCAAGAGCAGGAGTCGAACCGACCAGTTAGATTTAATTTTTTCGTTATATTCGATCAAACGTTTACTCATGTTACACCCAATTTTAAGGATAAAATTGAATGCATAAGACTCATGTGTGCCCAGAGATCAGTCACACACATAAGTTGACAATTACAAAAAAGTATCATCACGGTATATCTTACATCACGATTAATATCATCACATAGTCTTACACAACACAGCGGAAAATAAAAAGGTCACTCTCTAGTGGTAGCTCCAACACAGGGACGGTCAACTGGTTGACCACAAGCCTAAAAGTCCTCTGGAAACTCCTCATATCCGTTGACATCAGTTACCCATCCGGGATTTTTATCCAATATTGAAAGTAAACAAGCGTAAGTACTTCCCGTACTTAACAAGATAACATGGGGTTATGAAAGCTTAAAAAGGATGACTCTGGTTTACTACGGTTAGCACTTTTAGTAAGTCAAGATTTTATCATCAACTATTATCAAGTTATGCTTAAGCTCCAATTAAACCCACATGATCAAATATCAGAAACAATTGAATCATATTAACTTCGTAGAACATCATAAATGAATAACAATAAGTAACCATTTATTCTGTGAGTTTTCCGGGCCGCTCGTGACCTTGAGCATGGCTGTTATAACAGTTTGTAACACTCTACAGATGTTGTGCACTTTCACCGTGAGTCGTGATTCCCATATGCCCGGTTTAATTACTCCCATAACACTGTCAAGGTGAGCGGGCGGGGTATACTATGAAGCCATTTCATAGGTTTCTCTAACAAGTTAGAGCCGCTAGGTTTCCTCGGCAGGCAGATGTAGGGACCCCCTTTCCTATGGCACATCTCCTTCGTGGCTATACACATAGGAACAGAGGTAGCCCTATACCCAACGTGGCAAGCCCCTTTTGCGCCATAAAGGTAACCTCTAACAAGCTAGAAAAGGTCCTATTACTGAGCTAAAGTTAGAGCCATGTGACCCTCATGGTTGCACTGTCAGTCCCAGCTTTTACCGACAGATGAGTCCTTATGGAGGGCTAAGAGCATCATGATCAAAAGTCATTTGCTCCTTCACACTATAATTCAGTTGTTTAAAAGCAAATTTTACCTTTTCGTTCTATAGAACCATTAGTCATTATGTAGATCATGTACAGTTTCATTGAGTGCTAGCAAACTACCCATATGCATATAACCCATAGGAGACAAGGAAACATGATACTCAATCACTAGGATGTCCTTACGGGTATCAAAATTAGGCACATGCAAATGAGAAATTAATAAATGGTGAATGGGACATCAAGGTAGATCCCATGCTATACTTGCATTGATCAATGAACTCGGGCTGCTGCTGCTGGTCGTCAAAGAACTCTTGGTCTCCAACGTTCTCCTCACCGTCTAAACTCGACCAACAAAGCAACATACAAGCATTCCAAAGGCATTCATGCAAAGCAAACAATTATGGAATTAGAACAGTACACTAGGGCATAAAAACAAGATAAAAAGGTTCTTAAAAAGAATCTACGTCTCTCAACAATCACATAGACGTGAAGTTCATGAAAAACGAAGCTAAAACACGAAAGTTATGAATTAAACGGGGTTTCCTATAGCAATTTATTTAATTAAATCTAACCTCAAAATTTAAACGTTGCAAACATGTTTGACAGTGGCATTAACATGTAGAGAACTTAATTACGAACCTAACGAAATTTGAACGGGTCGATTCGGAGCTAAAACGATGATTTTATAAGCAAAACAATGCAGTGGAATTTCTGTAAATAGAAATAACTATTTTTGAATTTAAATAAATCAGAAAAATCAGGATTTTCATGTGGCCAAGGACTGTGGGTGTAAAAAGAATAAAGACGAGGGATTCTTTAGCAACTTTGCCACGGTGAAGGGGTATCGACCATCCGCAGCCGTTGATCACGAGATGGGTGGCTCAGATTAGAAAGGGGAAGGGAGAGGGGGAGGCGTCGAGTGGAATAGTGGTGGCCGCGGCGGCGTAGCCATTGCCGGTGGCGAGGAGGTCGTTGACGAGCAGGAAACAAGGCCTTCGGGCCACGATTCGACGAACCGAGGGTGCCGGGAGAGAGAGAGAGAGGTGAAGGCGATCTCGCCTAGGCCGAGAACGTGGCTGGAGGACACGGCTGACGCGGTGGTGGCCATGGCCGGTGGCAAGAATCCCGCCGGTGTCCACGGCTGGGCCCTAGAGGTCATGATTCACGAAGTTAAGGCATGGGGAGAAGGAGGGGAACAAGGGGGTCTCACCGTAGATGAAAAACAAAGTCGGAGATGAACGGAGACGGTGTGTGGCGAGAAATGGCGGACGACACGGCGGTTTCCAAGCTCGGTGGGCCCTAGCAAGGGGGAACTGTAGCACCAAGGCAGCGACGGGGTCTCAGATCCCCTTTATAGAGGCTGGGGCATAGGGGGAGGCGCTCCCACGACGCGAGGTGGGCGCGGGTAGCGGTTGCGCCATGACCAT